TGTTTCCGGTGGAGGTTTGAGCTTCAGGTGAGGTGGTGTTCGTCAGGCAGGTGTTGCTTATCGTTCTGCTAGTGTCTTCCTCAGTGGATACCTTAACGCGTGGTTGGTGTAAAGGTTCCATTGAATGCGTCTCATCGGTGCCGTCACGCTTCAGTAAAAGGTCGGTGGCTGTGTTAGGAGTGACGGCGAAATTTTGGCATGTTAGTTCAGCGTCGTTAACCTGTGAGAACTTCCTAGGATGGTCGGTGACAGTTTCAGGAGCTGTGTTAACGGTGGTTGACCTCGTCTTGTGGTCATCCGATGGAATCACTGTCTGCTTGAAAATGATACTTGCTTCTTGTTTATAAATTGGAGAGTGACCGTCACTTACCTGGGCCATACGTGGGGTGGTTATTCCATTTGTCTGGTGCCTCAACGAGGTGGGACTGACCATGACGCCAGAATCAGTGCCCAGAGGAGGAATGACTACACTCAGCTTGAAGTTTCCCCAGTGTCCATCTACTGTACCTCCAGCATGGCCATTGAGTTCCCCAGCATGGCCATTGAGTTCCCCAGCATGGCCATTGAGTTCTCCAGCAAGGCCAATGAGTTCTCCAGCATGGCCATTGAGTTCTTCAGCATGGCCGTTGTGTTCTCCAGCATGGCTATTGAGTTCTCCAGCATGACCGTTGATTTCTCCAGCATGGCCGTTGTGTTCTCCAGCATGGCCATTGAGTTCTCCAGCATGACCGTTGATTTCTCCAGCATGGCCGTTGTGTTCTCCAGCATGGCCCTTGAGATCTCCAGCATGGGCCTTGGGATCTCCAGCATGGCCATTGAGATCTCCAGGTTGGCCACACTTTAATGTCTTGTCAATAAATAAGTCAGTAAGGCTTTGGACTCTTCCCTTACCGGCCGGCTTCCTGGGGCTACAGGCAAGACTCTTCATGTTTCCATTATCTGTGTATAAGCGACCATTTAAGAGCTGACACTTCATAATCCTCGGCTCACCATCAACGACGTCATCACCATCATCACCATCCCTATTGCCTGCGGTGTAAGATCCGTTAAGCATGTCACCGACAGCACCTTTCATTCCACCGACAGAAGCTTCATTTTCCAGGCTGTCAACTCTCAGAACTTGGGGTTTAGACGGCTGAATGGGCTGTTGTATGAGCAAGGAAGGTGCAGCCATGTTGACCACTCCGGGATACTGATCTTTGAAGTCGATATGATTTTCCAGCAGCTGTTGTTCTTGTTGACAAAGTTTCAGAGATGTCTTCAGGCGTCAGCAGTCAGCTTCAGGGCGTGAATATAATCTAAGCCACCAAGATGCTTCACATAATATTCCATAACACAGTCACTTAACACGTGAGAAATAGAGTCACTGATTTACTTGAGGAAGACAGCTATGCCTCCGGGGCGGTCGGGGTCCAGGCGGGGAGTGAGCGCGAGGCAAGCTGGATCTCGGCCTGGAGTGCTGGAAGGGGGAAATCTACCCCCTTCGTTGCTTTTCCTACAGAGCTGCTCGCACGACCGTAGCGGAAGAGAGACCTGCGTTACAATGAAGTAGCTCTCTGAAACCCTCTCTCTTTTTTTTTAACACCACCAAGTTTTTTTAAGGAATTTTCTCTCGAGTAACACACACAGGTTCCCATCGGTCACTAGCGGTCAATTTCCTCATACAGACGATGACAAACACACCTTCACTACTTCAGTCTCAAGTATCCATCATTCCACGCCTCTCACTCGCTTCAAACACAGCCCAACACACCTCTAACATATCTTCCCGTTGTTCCTCTACAGCTGACATGATCTGCACCTTCAGGAGAGAGGGGAAAGAAGCTCTCCTCTCACCTTCTTCAACTGAGTGGTCTTATTCTTCCTTCTCTGAGTCTAGCTAGAACTAATGCCTTGAAATTCGTATCTAGAGAGAATTAAAACCTCCCTCACTCTCTCCACCAACAATATGACGAAATATCTCACACCGCCATTCCAAAAAAAACAAAACATCAACACCAAGATTAGAGTGTCAGCACCATGATGGCACAAGAGAACAAACAAGACAGTTATGAATTGTTGAGGTCATAAAGCTTGTTAGGTCAGAGACAACAACAAACAAACAACAAACAAACAACAAAACAATACATATTACGTGTACATATGAATCTATCGTACATATTTACACAACATATGTTTATTTACTAGCATCAGGACCATGTTGGAGGTAAACACGAACTAGCTGAAGCGGTGAGTGTAAATTCTCGTTAGTGTAACCCGGTGTTAACACAGTATAGGCAGCTGGCCACTAGGAACGGTCCCTTGAATAGAAACTTAAGGGGCTTGGGTGGTGGGGGGTTAAGGGGATGGGGGAAATGGGATAAGGGAGGGGAAGGTGGGAGAAGGGGAAGGTGGAAGGGGTAAGGTGGAGAAGGAGAAAATGGTGGGGGTTAAGGGGAGGAGGGGGAAAATATAGAAGATTAAAGGGGAAAAAGAGAGAGGGGGTTAAGGGGGATGAAGGTGGAGGGGGAGTTAACAGAGCAGAAACTCCATCACTCCGCCATTACACTTGAACCTGACAGTCAGGTAGTTTAACGCCTCGCTTCCATCAGTTAACCTATTTTTTATCGCCAACTGCATCATTCTTCACTAACACACACACACACACACACACACACACTGTATATGTCACTGAGTGGAGTAAGATGTTGGCTTCATATCATTAGAGAGAGAGAGAGAGAGGAAGGAAGAGGAATGAAAGCACTGTAGCATGAAGGGGAGGGAGCAACGTAGATTATAACCTGGGAGGGAGCTTCCGAGAGAGAGAGAGAGAGAGAGAGAGAGAGAGAGAGAGAAAATGTATTCAGTAAGTTCTGCCGTAACAAAAAGAAAACGTTAGCCACTAATTAACACACACACACACACACACACACACACACACACACACACACACACACACACACTAAAAAGTTCCATTAAATTTCTGTACAATATAACGCGTCAGACACTTACACCGTGACACACACAACGTCATCTGCTCCGACTCGGTGAAAAGTGTGATTTATGGAACACTGGTACGTGACTTAAACCCACAGACAGACAGACAGACAGACAGACAGACAGACAGACAGACAGACAGACAGACAGACAGAGACAGACAGACAGACAGACAGACGACAGGTCAAGTAGATCTGTATCATGATCTCCTCTCGTCTGTCATGAAACTGTGGGGACTTCTCTTAATATGTTCAAGCTTAAAACGTTATTCTAAGCTTACTCGACCTGGAAATGTGTTCATCGTGACCTAAGCTGACCCGGAAAAGTATACAATGTGATCTAAGCTGACTCGAAAATGCATTCATCCTGACCTTAGGTGACCTGGAAACGCGCTGATATTGACCTAATCTAAACAAGAAATATTTTGAACTTGACTTAAGCTAATACAGGAGACATGTTGATCTTGACCTAAGTTACCTCAGAATCGTTTGACCTTGACCTATGATGACCCAGAAATGCGTTGACTGATTCAGAAATGTCACGACCTTTCACCCAGACCTTCCCGAGGTTACCTGTTCAACCACGACCAGGTGTGATTTCCTCCGAGAAGTTTAAATACAAGTACAAATAAATCACCTGAAGATTAGCGCCCCCCCCCCTAACATTTAACCTGATAAGTAATCAACCTCAGCTCGTCCTTATTTACACAGCTCGACCTAATACTTCAAACCTCGACCTAACACTTGTAATTCCTCAAGTGTGAATACTAATTAACAAGGGAGTGAGGAATATAGCTTTTATTTCTCACCAAGTAAATTAAATAACATTAACATTCCTCTAACACACTGTATAACGTAGGCTACTATACTGTATTTACCTGTAATATCTACCCTGTAATCCCCAATAACATCCCCTGTAAATCCTGTAATCTCCATAACTAAATAAATTTCAGGTAGAATTTGTAATCGACCTGGAAGATAAAACTGTGAGAGCGTGAAGGAGTTTTAATTCAGATACCTTCACTATTCCTCCCCCTTCACCGGCACATTCACCAGCCTTTGTTACGTGAATTCAATTGTTATCAAATGCCACCGTTAGTTTTAAAATAGATAATGATATAACTTGATTTTTATTCTGGTAATAGGGTTAATTTTATGAGGCCAAATTGGTTATACGTATAATTAATTTAAATTTGTCTTGAGTCAATTTTTTAAAAGATCTATTGAATTTTTAGCCTCGAGAGATTTTTATACACCAGTTAGTTTCCAGAATAAATTAGAATATTAAGTTTATCTCTCTCCATTGTTGGGTTTTTAATCTAAAGGTCAGATGATGAAAAGCAGCTTTGAAACGCCAAGTTAATTTTTTGTTTAAATGCCTTTATTTACTCTTCATTGTATACTGTATTTTGTTTGGAATTTATGTATTTATTGAAACTAATTCTTGTAACTCAACTTTACCAGTGAGAAATGTTGATGAAAGTATTATATATTAATTTATACTTTGGAACAATGACTTATGTTAAAATATGTTAAATGTTATATATCATCAATTAGAATTTTGAGTTGAATTACAGACGCTGGATGTGTGGAAAATTTAAAATATTCTTTATATCAGAATAAACACGGCAGTAATAATTCTGTTTAAGATTTTTCAGTCAGAATTATTTTAAAAGACACCTCCCCTCCCCCCGCCATTGCAGTGAAAAGTCTAAATACTTCAGGCTACGCTAAGCTCACCATCGCAGTAAAAGAAAACTTGACGACGGATCCAACAGAGAAAACGAATTCCATCCTAAGCACTTTTATAGGGAGGACTTGCATAAAATATAGTCCTACACCAACACGTACAGACAATTGAATATATAGTAATTGAAATACACATGTAAATAAATTCACGAAATAAAACCCCCCCAGATAAACAACGCTTATAACACAGTAGGACTTCAACAGCCACCGAGTCACAGCTTCTATAACTTAACAACCCCCCCCCCGAACCCAATAGTGTGTGTCTATCGTACTCAC